AAACATCGCAGTGCGATATACCGGGGCGGTCGACGAATGATGAAAACTTATAGCTTGTATATATAATATAATAAAAGTATATAATAATATAAAGAAACCATTAATCTGCTCGGGGCATCTCTCGCGACATCTGTGTATTTTGAGGACATTTCGACAAAAAGTAAAATAATACTCGGTTACATTAGTAACAAATAACAATAATGACGAATGGAGGAGAATGGAATATATATAAAAAAAAATAATAATAATAATAATAAATATATATATATCGTATTAAAAAAATATCAAGAACCCATTGTGCACGCACGCTGGTCTTAGCGGGGAATTAAACAGTTACACACACACAATTCGTAAATCGTTACTGTGCGGGGTACCTACGACGGTGGTGCAATGAAACTGGTCCCCGTTTGTGTATTATTATATTATTATACTATTCTTTTGCGAGGTATACAATAACGAATATTATCGCGTTATCGGCACCGGTAGATCTCTGGACGAGTGACGACTACCGTGGCCCGGGAGGCGGTGTGTGTTTATTTTGTGCACGGCCGTCGCTCGAGAGCACTTACGAATATTTCCAGAGCAGCTGCTGTCGCACGACAAAAATTCACGTAGTCGGGAGGCGAGCAGATTAAAATACCCTTCAGGTAAGCCCCGCATAACATATAGGACGTACACAATATAATATGGTGGAGGATTCCTACAACCGTCGTACGTTGTCATAAGTTCTCCACCGTCTTCCCCACGCTTGTTTTCTGCAGCGATGCCGCGGGTGGGTATAATATGCGTGCGCTCGTCGAATAATAATAATAATATTAATGATAATAAGTGATACGGTGCAGCCAGCAGCAGGGTATAGGCGCTGATAGTTGGGTAGATGTAACTATGTAAGTATTATACTACGTAAATGGATGGTTAAGGCACGAAGCCAGAGCAGTTACAATGCAGAAAAGGGTCGTCGAGTAATCGCGTTCTGCGGTGGTACGGGGACGACACCATTGTGCCCACCTGTTGGTGCGCAAAATCGAAACCGGCGGATGAGATATTAATATTATTTTCGTACCTACAACTATTATTATAATGCACGGCCACTCTGAGTATTTTTTCAACTTCAGATTTCTTTATAATATAATATTTTATCATTCGTTGAAACGTACCATTGTAAAGCAATACACATCGGGGGCATGTGTGTGTTAAGTGTTTACAGAAATAATAAATGTGACAGATTTCATATAATATGACCCGTGTAGACGAGTACTCCACTGCTGCCGTTAGTAAAGCGTCCGGATTCCAGAGACGCATATAATATTATTATTGTAAGAGTAAGTTGATGTTGAATAAATAATATTGTTCGATTTCGGAAAATTCCTCTGTCACATAAAATTATGTTGAAGAATGTGGTTTTAATTAAATAATGTTGATTCAACGAATTATATGATAATTTATAGTAATATAGTAATGGCTATATTTAATATTATTATAATGTAATATGTATAATGTCACAGTACAATAAACTGCAGTTTTGATAGGTAGTAAAATGCTTACGAATATCGACATTGTCAGTACCGTTGTTGTTTTAGGAATACCTACATATTTTATTTGTTATAAGTTATAAGTAGTAACTCTTGGCTACTTTTAAATTAATTCTTTGAATGTAATTTTTCGAGTATTTTTGTGTACTTACCTAATAATATTATTGATAGTAATATTTATAAATTATTACACAACAATCTCTCGACTATACCTCAATGCCTCAACCATCATCTCTACCTTTTATGTTTGGTACCTGTTAGCTGTTATGCGTATATTTATGCATATTGATATTATATTGTGAGATGTCCCGATGTTCGTTGACTGCTATAATGTTATTCTTCGATCAAATTTCATAATAACGTAAACAACGTTTTTAATTAATTTTTGAAAAAAAGACAATTGTTTTCTTATAAGCTTTGTGATTGAATAGTGTTTACAAATCATTCGAGTGTTGAACGACTTATAATAACATTAAATTATATTGTATAATATACAATTTAACATAAACATGGTTAAACATTACAATAACTCACTCGTTTCACCTAATTTACGCATATTATTTAGTCTACTGAGAGGCGTCAATCTCGGTTTTATGAATATTCAATAGTATTATGGGGTCTATAATATTACCAAGTATATAGATAATAATATATCGTTCAAACTTCAAATATTATGTAGGTATACGTCTACAAGAAACAACACGCGTGGCGATGAGGTTCGTATGGTACGAATTATTATTATTGTTGTTTTTGTTGTTACGAGCGACGACTGACAGCCCTAATTTGAATTATCCTACTCGAACGGAAATCCAGGGTAATTTTTAAATTGTTGTATATTATTATCGAGCACACTAAAATGATATAAACGCATAATATGTACTCTAGTCTCGATTTATTATGTAAATCGCTCATTGAAGTATCAGAGCTTTATTATACCTAACAGGACTGCGTTCGTGTGTATTCGGTGTGACAGGTTAAAATGGTTGTAGATTTAAAGAAAACGAGTATAATGGAAACACTATCGCTGTTAAGATTTATAATGCAAATCAACCATTATAAGTGTTATTGATGCCGTAGATTTGTTTATTAATTCGAATTCTAAAATTAATTTATTTTTTTACGACTAGGTAAATAGGCTTTACATTCACAATAACAATAATATAGGTGTGTTATATTTTATCACACTTCGTAGTTGGTAACTGTTCTTCGTAACTTATACATACCTACGTGGGGTGATTCATATAAAAGTAAATTCTCTAAACCTAGGTTATTATAACATTGATTATAAATAGTAAATACTGGTAATAATGATATTATCGATGAGTATTAAAAGACTTCTCCGGATAAAAATTCGACAAATTCAGCCCAACTCCAAACGTTTGAATATAATTTTATCATGGGGACATTTTTTGTTTTATTAAATTATTATGTTAATGTTAATCCAATAAATCATAGCATATTATCATATATAATATTGGTATATTAACATTTCCTAAAAAAAAATGTTAATGAGACGTTTTTTATGTCTCATGAAAAGTAATCAATATGATATAATATTATGAATATGGAGTTATGACAATATAATATTGTGAATTAGGCCGACGTCGGACTATTGATTTTCTCTATCTCGTCATGGCCCCATGGGCCTATTTTTAATAGTAAATAACGACGAATTATCGAATCGATTCTAGGTGTATGTACGATATATTATGACGTGGCATTAAAATATTTCAATATTTCAATGTCCAATAATACCTATGGGTATAGTATATATATTATTTTACATACCTATAATATAAGTAAATGTACCAATATAATATGAAGAGTGCAATGTGTATAATATAGTATTTACATAAAGCGATACTAATCAAAATCATGAATAATATGTGAAATTACAAATTGCATGGTCAAAAACGTTATTAGCCAAAACGCAATGGCTCGGAATTTTAAACAATATTATTTGTACCAAAAAAATAAAACGGTAAAACATTACGCCTTTATAATATTATATAATATCTCCATAATTTTTTCCGATAATTGTAAATATTTATTCGGTTATTCCTTGTAAAGTTATAAGTAATAAGAGAGAATTATTATGTAACTTAAAAGTTGAAATATGATTCTATATAATATGCTCTAAAAAAAACCTTAAAGTATTCTCTGAATAATCCTTAAACTGGTGAAATATGCTGAAAATATACTTTTTTTATACTTCAAATAGGTAATCTGTATACCAGTTACAAAAGAAACATTATTATGTAAAATATACAGTATAACGTAGGTATGTTAGTATAAGAATATAAATTAAAACATTAACATTTACCATCGATTACACATCATTATTATATTTAAACTTGAAAATAATTATTGCATAACTTTTCTTTGGTAATTCAGTCACAATCGAAACAATCAAACACCTTGAAAAATTTTCAATTTAGTTACAATTGTTATAAACATTTTTTTGTCGTATGACGAAATATTCTTTAATCTCCAAAATGTTCGTTAATATAAAAAATTTTTTTTTTTTTTAATTTTGATCTGGTAAAGTAATTCAGATATTTTACCCCTTTGAGCTGCATAAAGTTAATACATATGTGTAAAAACCTAAAAATCCGCTCTCTACTTATATCAATATAATTGGTTGGTATTGTAATTCGTACACACTACACGAGACTTATGAAAATAACAGTCAAATGCCAATATTATTGTTTCGGGAATTTGTATACGGGTTAAAAATACCATAATAATAATATTTTATGAATTATACATACAGTGAAAACTCTTTATAACGAATCTGAAGGGACCAAGAGATTTCTTTCGTTATAGAGAGTTTTCGTAATAGAGAGGTTTTAAAAAAAACAAAATTTTAATTATTTATGTTTAAAGGTACCTATAGGTATTTACCTATGTAATATTATATATCAAACACATTATTATTTTTACATTATTTTATACATATTTACGTATTATATTAAATTACGTATCATTATTATTATACTACTGTGGTCATGCGTATAATGTTAGACATTACGTCAATAGTAAAATGAACATTCAATTTAGACAATAACGATATTAAAAGTAGGTAATGAAAGAATGTAATCGTTCTTGGAAATTTCGGCATTATTGCCGATTATTTTAATAGTTTATATATGTAATAGATAATAATACTATAACACGTAAATTGTATTATGAAACATAAAATATTGTTTCGTTATTGAGAGTGACTACTACGTTAAGCTGCGTTTACACATGAGCAAAAGCACGGTCGAGCCGTAGTGAGCGCGAGCAAAACATGAGCACTGTGCGCATTGTGTAAACACTATAGGCGAGCTGCCCGGAGCCGCTCTAACTGGCTCAAAATTGTTCACAAGAATTAAATTCAGTTGATAGTTGTTCATTATCGACTTAAACAGTTAAACGTCACATTCAGTATTTTTGTACTCAGTTACCAATCAGATTTAATTTAAAATGGTCAATAACGAGCTAGTAAAAAAGCGCACAATCATCGCAGGTGCCACATTCATAATTTTGAATTCACTTATCAAAAAAAAACAAAAAATTAAACAAAAAAGACGTTGGTGGATCACTCAGATGTTTAAGAACAGGGATGAACATGGTGGACTAAGTTTGATTAATGATTTACTGTTTCAAGAGAGTGGACAGTTTGAAAATTTCGTTCGCATGGCTTATTCTGACTTCAAGTATTTAGTAACACTGATTCGTCCACAAGTCGAAAAACAAACTACGCATTGGAGAAAACCCATAAGTGTAGAAGAAAGATTAGCCGTGACTTTACGTTTTCTGGCCACCGGGGACTCGTATACTAGTCTACAATACACATTCAAAATATCAAAGTCTACAATATCTAGTATCATACCAGAAGTATGCATTGCATTAACAAAAGTACTGTCAGACACGATTAAGGTAAGAATAAAATATAGGTATAATTATACTTAGTTTTAAATTCATAACTACAGGACAAAGGACATACAATTCTAAAAATCACTAAACATGCACTAAATGATTATTTGTTAATTGTTATAATTATTATCAGGGCTCATCATAACTTCTAGTACTTGCATATTTTTTTTGAGAGGTCCTAGAGATATATGTGTGAGCTATAAATTTGTTTCAGATAACCAAGAACCTAAATACGAAATTTTATGTTGCATTTTTCAACATTTAAGTGCTATTTTGCTTTTTTCTTATTTTTCCGATTATTTTCTCATTATTTTTGCATAATATTAATTATTTCTTTTTATCAGTTTCTAAGTCTTTAAAACATTTTTTTCTTAATAATAACAAATAATATTCGTGTTAATTAATTTTTCTTCTTGTAATATTATATAACTTATATACGACTCGCGACGTAGCGAGGTACCTACGCCCGAAACTTCATATTCGACAAAATCGATTTTGGTTTTTGCTGTAACTCTAAAAGAAATGAAAGTAGATCCATGAAATTTTGACTGATATTTAGCATTTTCTACACACCATGCCATTTTAAAAATATTTTGACTTATTTTGAGCTGTTTACGGACATTTTCAGTGTCCATTTTTTTTTTTGTTTTTTTTTTCTATAAATATCAATAACATTTAATTTGTTGGGTAAAAATTCTTGAAAATTTAATAGAAGGCTCCTAATATATTGTTTCAAAGGTAGATGACAAATATTTAAAATACATAGGCACAATTTTTTTTATAATCATTTAAAGTTAAAATTTAAATGAAATTTATCAAATTGAGTATTTACAAATTATTTAGTAGTTAACAAATTATAAAATGTTCAACTTTTATAGCTAAAGATTAAAAATTTAAAACAAGGTTCCACGTAATTAGGTTATATATAAATCACTTTATTCACAATAATATCATCAAATATACTTAGTAATATAAATATATCATAGGCTGACTGACCGTCTTCGCTCAGAATCGTTTTTCGTATACAATGATATTATATCATTGAATTCAAATTTAATACCATAAATTATACAGTGACCTAATTGTAACCTACTGTACAGCAGAGGGACATCAACTTGCCCACCTTTCTTTTTGTTGCATATTTTAGTATTTTTAGTGCATATTAAGCGCTTATAACAACCTTTTTTAGAGCTATAACTTATTAGCCTTGATTATTATTAATGATATTTTTTTTGAAACTAATTACAGTCAATAAAAATGTATTGTATAAAATATAATATAAACATATTAGGTACATAATATAATATATATTAATATTTATATATGTGATTTCATGTATACGGATATATATAACAAAGACAATTTAAGTACATACCTTTTAATTTATATAATATATTAATATATGCAAGTATAAGTATAAAAAAAAAAAATTGAAACCTTTGGTTAAAAAAACTAATATGTTATATTCAAATTTTTTGTAACATTAGTAACATTTTTATATAAGTATATTATATAAAAAAGAAAATAGAGTTTAGTTAAAAAAAATTAATTTCTTGTTACTATCCTTGTAACTTTAATAATATAATATGTAATTTAATAAATAAATGTACAAAAACTTACTTTTTTAATGCTGAAATATGCAAAAATATAATATAGATTAATAAACTATTAAACTACATTTCAGAAGTGAATTCAGAATTCAGGTGTAGGTAATGATGATGTAGTTGCAGCTGATGTAGATTCTGGTATAGCTGTTTGTGGAAAAGTGTATAAAGGGTTAAAATTATCTGAAAAATGTTGAACTTGGGGACCGGATAAAGTTGAAAAAGATGTAGCTGTTGATTCTGGTGGTGAAGTCCGAGGAAAAGTATACCGAGTGTTTAAGTTGTTATCTTGAGATGAATTTGCAGGAATCACCAGACCAGATACGGCTGATAAAGGAACCGGAGTCAAGGAAGGATAATATGAGTTGATGTAATGTGGATGTTGATTAGTATCTATATCATATTTTCCAAGATCAGCATCAATTAATAGCTTATTTATATCATGTTCAAGAAGCGTTCTGGTTCTTTGTGTGTATTTTTTAAATTTGCTGGAAAGGTAATTACAATATAAATCACTGTCGTCCATTTCTTTTATTGGTTCTTCTACTGTTTTTTTTAATATCTGTAAGGCCTCTTCAATCCTTGCATCCTCTTTTGATAATTTTTTTTTTTTTGATTTATTTGTAACATAATATTCATTTGACAATTTTTGTATGTCCTCATTCTCCTCAACTATAACTTCCTCATGATCTTGCTCAGACATTGCTTCAGATATATTCAATATATCTAGTTCATCATTCTCAACATGTTCAGTTTGTTGGATACTCTATAAAGTTAAAACAAATTTATAACATGATATACTAATATGATAGATGTTATAATTTAATTTAACATTTTATAAACATATAAATAGGTAGGTACCTACAAATAATAAATAGTTAAATAGCCCCCTACATAAATGCACATTTTAACTTTAAATGCTTAAAAAAAAAAAATCGTGGCTGGGTAAATATTTAATATTTTTAAACAGCTATAAGAAAAACTTACGAGGAACCTTGTATTAAATTTTCAAGGTTTTTGAACCAACAAAATTTTTTTATCAACCTATTATATATAGAAAAAAAATACAAAATTTAAAAATTATTTTGAAAATTGTATGATGTATAGAAAATTATAAAATTAAAATTTTATGAAAATTTTAAGTAGGTGAATGTCTAAGGTTATCTGCTTTAAAATAATAACATAATGAGAAAATCGTTCCATGAGATATCGTTAATTTACCACGGGTGAAATCCTGCAATAATGTAGAAAAAAATTTCAGACAGTTGAAAAATATTAAAAATACATCGGCGCAATTTTTTTTTCTATAAGCACTTGGAGTTCAAATCTCGACGTAAAAATGACGAAAATTGCAAATTATTTTGAGTTGGTAATTCATAAAAATAATTATTTTTAAATGAAAGATTTGAAAATTTAATACAAGCGATTCTTCATAAGCTTATTTCTACCTTTAAAAAAAAAAAATATCTACTGGAAAGTCAAATTTTTTTTATAGTTATTTTATATTTTTTTTTTTATAGTTATATTTTAATTTAAAATTTAGACGAAGTTACATATTATATAACCAAGTATGACAATTTTAGAATTTTTTATGTTATTCTATAATATATTAATAGTATATTATATAGTACCTATATATTTTAATATAAATATAATATAAAATTACCTAGACAGATAATAAACCGTCTCCACACAGAATCGTTTTTCGTATACAGAAACCTCATTGAAAGTTTTTAGTGGAAATTAAAAAAAAAGTTATGAATTCACAACAACACACTACGATACTTCAATACTGCGACCTACTCAATGAGTGAGTTTCCCTATTTTTTTTTATTAATAATATTTTACATTTTGTTATAGATGCCATCTAATAAAGATGAATGGAAAAAAGTTTCTGTAGCCTTTGATGAAAATTGGAATTTTCCACATTGCTTGGGTTCTATTGACGGGAAACATATAGTCCTACAAGCACCAATTAAGAGTGGCAGTGAGTTCTATAACTATAAGTCATTTTTTAGTATAGTTTTATTCGCTTTGGTAGACGCAAATTACAATTTCTTATTTGTGGACATTGGGTGTCAAGGTCGAATTTCTGACGGTGGATTATTTAAAAATACAGAACTCTGCAAAAGAATGCAAAATAAAGCTTTAAATTTACCCGATCAAGAAGCCTTGCATGGCAGAGATATACCTATACCGTATGTATTTGTTGGTGACAAAGCTTTTCCACTAGGCGAGAACCTCATGAAACCATATACTGGTAACCATCCTAAAGGTTCAATTAAAAGAATTTTTAATTACAGACTCAGTAGGGCAAGAAGGGTAGTTGAAAATGCGTTTGGGATTGTATCATCAGTTTTTAGATGTTTACGAAAACCATTGTTATTACAACCCGAAACGGCAGAAATTATAGTTATGGCAATCGTGCACTTACATAATTTTTTAAGAAAAAGCGCAGCTTCAAAAAACATTTACTCGCCACCAGGGACTTTTGATTTTGAAGAGAATGGTGAAATTATGTCAGGTAACTGGAGATCGAATGAAGATGGAATGACGTCAATGTTACCCTTAAGAAATATACCACGAAGAAATACCAACATGGTAGAAGAAATTAGGAATGAGTTCGCTAATTTTTTTATATCAAATGGTAAAGTGACATGGCAAGATGATTATGCCTAATATTATTAACCTAATATTTACATTAATTTTGTTATTGATCGTATTTTATACGATAAAAAATATAATATAAAATAATGTACTTTAAACAGTTTATTTGGTTTTTTTTGTTTTAATTACAAATTTTAGTTATATAGGTACCTATACTGTTTAATTCTAAATGTGAAAAATAATATTGTGGTAGGTAGATTATTTTGAATTTATCGATAGATTTTATTGGTGTGTAGTGTGTACCTATACTATACCGTCCATACAGTTCATGATGTTGTGTTTAATCAGATACGTAATTAATACGTAACTATTACATATTATTTTTGTAAATAATTGTATTATAAATAATAATTTTATTAATTGTTGAAAATTACAAAAAATAAAAATAAAAATACTGTACAAACACTAAGTTTAGAAGACTTCGTCAGGAAAACTATATTAACTATACCTATTATTTGTATTATTATAATAATAATTACACATTACCATATTATTCTAAATATTAATTAATTAATTAACTTGAATAATTGTATATCTATTTATGTTCTACATTAAGAAATCTCTATAGGTACCTATATGAATATAATACATTTATTTTAAACTATTATTACAATATCAACTTAAAACTTACATTTATAGTTTTCCTCGGTTCGTCTTTATCATTTAAAAACTGCATGTATGGGAATCCAAACCATTTTGATTTGTAAACTTCATCGCGGCCTAGATTAAATAGGTATTAAAAATGTACGAATAATAAGGTAATGC